GAAGAGGAAGATTAAGAAGAAGAACAGGAAGAAGAAGAAGAAGAAGAAGAAAAAGAAAACTACTTCGATAACCTCCTCTTCCCTGGAAACCCTAAGAGAAGCCTCTCTCCCCCCCCCCCCCCAGGGGCAGAAAAGTGAGTGGGGCGCGAGGGCACGAGGGCGTGAGGGCGCCGTCCCTCGAAAGACGTCCCTGTGAGAGGAACCCGGGTCCTACTTGGCCTTCAGGAGCCGCCGTTGGTCCGCCCGCCCGCCCGCCCTTCGCCCGTCCCTCGCCCGCGCGCCCAGATTGGTAACTCCTCTGATAACAGCACCGTTTGTAATTAATTGGCAACGGGCGACGCATCCTAACGAGCGACGGCCAGGAGGCGGCGGCGGTGTCGGCGGGGGAAGCGGGACGTGACGCGAATGGGGAATGCGCGGCCGGGGGGGTGGGGGGTGGGCGTGCGGGCGTGGGGGGACTGTGTGTGTTTGTGTGTCTGTGTTTACATGTATGTATATATATACATACATAAATATATATATACATACATACATATAATACATATATATATATATATATATATATATATATATATATATATATATATATATATATATATATATATATAAAACATTATATTATGTATGTATGTACAGTAAGATGTGTATATTCTATTATCGTTAGAATAAAGTATATTGCTGTTAGTATTGCTGTTTTTTTTGTGCTGATGTTAATATTAGTATAGTAATGGTAATGATAATAATAATTATCATCATCATCATCATCATCATCATCATCATCATCATCATCACCATTGGTATTATTATTATGACTACTACGACCATTATCATTATCATAATTTTTTTCTCTCATTATTATTATTATTATTGTTGTTGTTGTTTTAGTTGTTCTTGTTTTTATCATAATGGTTATGGATAGTGTTTCTTTATTAAAATCATCGGTCATATTATTATGTTATTGTTATTAGTGTTATTACTTTAGTTATTATCATTATCATTGCATTTGCCATCATGTTAGTATCATAAATATCATTAATAATGATGATAATGATAAAAGTTATAATAATAATAATAATAATAATAATAATAATAATAATAATAATAATGGTGATGATGATGATGATAATAATGGTAATTGTATAATTTTTATAGGAATAATATTAAGATGAAAATAATGATACATTGATGAGGACAATAATAAGGATAATAAGCAATGGTGATGGGCATAATAATGTTAATGATAAAGATAATAGTAATAATGATGATAATGAGAATAACAATGATAATAATCATAATGATAATAATAATTATTATTATTAATAATAATATTATTATTATTATTATTATTATTATTATAATTATCATTATTATTATAATTACAGTAGTAATAATAATATTCATCACTATTATTATTTTATTATCAGCATTATTATTATTGTTATTATTATTATTATTATTATTATTATTATTATTATTATCATCATCATCATCATCATCATCATCATCATTATCATTATCGTTATCGTTATTATCATATTTTTTTCATTATTGATATTATTATTTTTATTTTGTTATTAACATTATTATTCATATTATTAAAATTCCCATTATTATTATTGCTATTATTTTTCTTACTATTGTCACTTTTATTATCAGTAATGATAATGACATTATTTATTATAACTATCATAAAGATGATAATATTGATAGTGATAGTAATAGTGATTATGATAATAATAATTGTTGTTGTTATTGTTATTATTGTTGTTGTTATTATTATTATTATTATTATTATTATTATTTATTTATTTATTATCATTATTGTTATTATTATTATTATTATTATTATCATTATTATTATCATTATTATCATTATTATTATTTTTACTACTGCTACTACTATTACTATCATTGTTGTTTTTATTTTCATTTTTAGTGTTATTTTTTATTTTTATTTTTGCTGTTGATATTGTTGCTGTTTTTGTTATAATTATCATTATCATCATTATCGTTATCACTATTATTATTATTATTATCATTGTTATTATTGTTTTTGTTATCTTTATTATTGTTGGTGTTTGCTTTATTATTATTATAATTAAGATGACAATGGTGATTATTATTATTTATATTATTAACATTGTTAATATTATGAATAATAACATTATTATTATTATTATATTCATATAAGTAATGTCAATATATTTTTGTTATTATTATTATTATTATTATTATTATTATTATTATTATTATTATTATTATTATTTTACTGATGATAGCACTGTTGATATTATTATTGTTATTAGTATTGAAATCATGTATTGTTGTTATTATTATTATTATTATTATTATTGTTGTTATTATTTTTTTTATTACTATTACTATTATTATTATTATCATCATCAGGGCGAGTAAGGTGATAGTGGAGATATTCAACAGTTACAATTATTACAATTAGTTTTTATTATTCATTATTCATTATATAATGATTAATGGGCTGTATTGTTTATGATGATGATAATGGTGAGTGTAGTAATGCTGTTGCTGATGATGAAAATAATTTAAATAGTAATTATAATGATAATGATAATAATTATTGTCATTATCATTATTATTATTATTATTATTATTGTTGTTGTTGTTATTATTATTATTACTATTATTATTGTTGTTATTATTATTATTGTTATTATTATTATTATTATCATTATTATTATTATTATTATTATTATTGCTATTATTATTATTATTATTATTATTATTATTATTATTATTATTGTTATTATTATTATTATTGTTGTTGCTATTATTATTATTATTGTTATTATTGTTGTAATTATAATAATTATTATTGTCATTAATCCTCAGCGTTAAATCTGTAACTTTACAACAACACTGTGTCGTTGTTTTCTTTGTCATGAAACGCTGCCACGAGGCGGAACAAAGACACAAAAAAAGGCCTCGTTATCGGCAGCGGAAGGTCGGCCGCGGCGCGACTCTCACGACACGGCCGCCAGCGAGGTCGTGGCGTCGTCTCCGTCTGCGTCGCCTGCGTTGTCGTGGTCGTCGTGCGGTCGTGGTGGGCTCGGGAGGGGCTGGCGTGGGGTCGTGTCGCTCAATGTTGCATGGTGTGGGTCAAGGGGGGAAGGCAGGGAAGGGGCAGGAGACGGGGGTAGGAGGGGCGGCGGGAGGGCAGGTTCGTCAGCGTCCCGATGCCCCCAGCTGGAGGGGCGCGTACGGCGGCGTTGCCCGAGCGAGGCATGCCGAGGGCCTCCCGAGTGCCGTGTTGCATGGTGCAACGTGGTGGCGACGGCGTGGTGGTGGCGGCGGCGAGTGTTGGAGGAGGTGGTGGAGGTGGCGGAGGGTCGTGGAGGGTCGTGGTGCGAGAGTTGGCAGTGTGGTGGCGCCAGCGGTGTGTTGCAGCTTGCAGTGCCCGCCTGACCCAGCCTTGCAACAAGCCACGCCCCCATAATGCCCCGGCCCCACCCCCTGCACCTGACAGTCTCTCCCATTGGTCCAGCCGACTCATCCATAAGCCCGATTGGCTGTCAGCTGGCATCCATAAATCTGATTGGCTGGCACCTCCCCCGGCGGGCAGAGGCAGCAGGTACGCTCGGACGGCGGCCCAGAGGATCCTGGTGCGGCCGGGCAGGAGGGCGCCGCGCGCTCCTCCGCCGGGGTGCCGCATGCCCGCGCCCTGTGCCCCGACCCATGATTACAAACACCCGCTTCGATCTCCTCTCAACGGTCTCCCCGCGGCTCGAGTCCCGAAGGGCGCGGGGCCGGAGGAGGAGGAGCCGCCCCCGCGCCAGGCCCCTTCCCTCGGCGCGACTCCCTTGAGACGCGGCGGGAACGTCTTTCGGCGCGGAAGCCACGGCAGGCGTTCGCGCTCGACCCGGGCTAATGGGAGGGGATTGATCGCCTTCCCACGCGCGGGAGGAAGGCCGTCTTGCGGAGGATAATTTCTCCGCCCGGACCTGAACCCTGATGGAAGGTTCCTTTTACCCTTCGGCCGTGACTGACGGCGCGCGTGTAGGGGAGGGAGGGGAAGGAAAGGAGGGGAGGAAGGAGGGAGGGAGGGAGGGGAGAGCCATAGGAAAGGAGGGAACGAAAGAGGGAGGGAGAGGAGAGGAGAGCCAAAGGAAACGAGGCGAAGGGAACGGCCCTTTGAGGGAGTGCCACTGGAGAGATATGTTACCTATGGGCGTTGAGGCACACGTGGCACCCTCACCCGCCAGGTTATCCGCTGGTCAAGCCGATGCCACTTTGTTCATGGCGATGCAAAGGCGGGTTTTTCGGGGGGGGGGGGGGATTTGCAGAGTTTGGGTGAAGAGCTTATTGCGAGGACCTTATTCTGAGAAGAAATTCCAAATTTTTATTTTATTTTATTAATTTCAACATTGATATTAAAGTAGGTGTTTATAGGCTGTTATTAGATGTTAGGTCTTTTTTTTCCCTCAATTCATTCATTTCTCCGTATTGCCGCTTAATTATAATTGCAAGAAACTTATCTTTATTAGATCCACTTTGGTAAAGATGTTGATATTTAGTAGTAATATATTTTTTACCTACTTTGTTAGAACACAAACCTAACCTTAAGTACACAAACCTAACCTTAAGTCCACCTTGGAAAATGTGGGTTATTGTTGTTATTATCATTTATTACTGTTATTGTTATTGCCGTTACCAATATTATTATTATTATTATTATTATTATTATTATTATTATTATAATACTATTATTATTGTCATTGATATATTAATATAATTATTGTTATAATAATTATCATTACCATTATCACAATTCTCACTATCATATTATTATTATAATTATTATCATTATTATTATCATTATTATTATTATCATTATTATTATTATTATTATAATTATCATCATTATTATTATTATCATTATTATCATCATTATTTCTGTACATACAAAACCTTCATCTTGCTAAGCCGCCGACCTCACTAACCCCTCTCCCCCTCCCCCCCCACAGGTAAGAAGAGCCCAGCTGGACTACACTCTCGCCTTTTTCACGAATTCGAAGGTAGGGTTCCTTATTCGCTCTCTGCCTGCCCCTCTCTGTTGTAACTGCCCTTGGCGCTGTTCTTGTTTGTTAGTTGTTTGTTTGTTTGTTTGTTTTTTGATTTTGTCCGTTGGTGAATTTGTAATGATTGATGATGATTTATGGATGATGATCGTGGATGGATTGGCGATGTTGGTGTATTTTGTTTTGTTTTTGTTTGTTTTGTTGAGGTTTTTGTTTTTTTTGTTGAGGTTTTTTGTTTTGTTTTTTTGTTTGGTTTCGTTTCGGTTTTTGTTTTGTTTTTGTTTCTTGTTTGTTGTTGTTGTCGATGTAGTGATGATTTAACATCGTAGGTGATGGTTTATTCTTTTTAAAAAGTTTCTCGGAATAACCGAATATTCTTCTTTTTTTATTTTCCTTTTCCAAATTATCATCTCCCTCCCCTTCCTCCTCCTCCTTTCTCTTCCTCTATCCCTCTCCTCTTTTTATAAATGTTCTTTTACCTAATTATCCCTTTCCCCCTCCCCCCCCCCTTCTTCTTCTTCCTCCTCCTCTATCCCTCTCCCTCCCCCTCCCCCCCTTCTAGTCCCTTCCCCACAGCCCCCGATGTTTACTGACCTGCTTCTTGCAATCGCTTGCAGGCAGGCATTACGTGGGGGGGGGGGGGTTGTAGTCTCAATTGCTATACTTTTTTTTTCTCTTTTCCTTCTCGTCCTGTTCTGTAAGCAAGGTCACACAAGGTCACAGGGGCACCAGCGTTGTTGTGGGAGGGGCAGGACATGTCAGGAGTTCGTGGGTCAGAGGTCAAAGTTCAGCGGGGGGGGAGAGGGGGGGTCAAGGGTCGGTTTGCCCCCAGAGTGGGCTCCCGCTGGCAAGCAAGTTTTGATTATTTATATCGAAGTGGCCCCCGTGTAGGCAGCGTGGTGATCCCCTCTCCTCCCCCTCACCCCCCCTCTCTCTCTCTATCCTCCTTTCGGGGTTGTTTTCCCCTCTCCTCCCCCCCCTCTTTCATGCTTCATCTCTCTCTCCCTATCTGCCTTCCTCCTCCTCCTCTATCTCCCTTCCTTCTCTTCCATCTCCCTTCCTTATCTTCCATCTCCCTTCTTCCTTCATCTACCTTCCTCCTCCGTCTCCCTGCCCCTTTCTTCCACTCCTCATTTCTCCTTCATCTCCCTTTTTCTCTCCCTTTTGCTTTCCCCATCTCCCTTCCCCCTACCCCCCCTTTTTTTACCCCGCGTTCAACCTCCGTGCATAATGGCCTGTTAGCCTGTTAACCAATTTTTTAAAAACGTTGTTTGCCGTTTTCTTCCTCGTGTTCGTTATTATAGTTGTTATTTTTTTTTCTTTCTTATTTCCTTATTTTTATCCTTGGTCTTTTCTTTTCTCTTTTTTTTCTTCCACGGTTTGTGTTGATTTTTTTTTTCGATTTTCGTGTTTTTTTCTTTTGTCTGGTTTCGTTTTTTTTCCATTTTTTTCTTTCGTTCTCTTTCTTTCGTTTTGTCTTTTCTTCCCTTGGTAACCAAATACCAGGTGCGAGTAATGATACATATATTTTTTTTCCTTTTTTTTATAAAGATTAGTCTTAGTAGTGCATTCGTGTAGCGCATGGAGACCGTGCATTGCAATGTTGCAGAATTGCGGGATTAAAAGCATGATGAAATTGATGGTGAGTTTTGAGTTCTTTTTCGTCTTATTTTTCCCTCTCGTGAGAATAGTGACTAACCACAATTATCCTCAGGTTTAAATGGTGAATCATCATCATTTTAATATTCTTCTTTCTTGATTAAACTGGTATTTGAAGTATGACATATTTTTTCTTCTTTAGTTGTTAGTAAATATTACGTGGCATGTGATATAGTAGGTGAGATGGTTATAATTGTGTTGATGATTTTGATAGTGTTTTGTCCTGAAGGAAAATGGGGATCGGGGTGGGGGGAGGGGGGGGTTACTGATACAGTCGCTAGGGATCTTTAAAAAAATGAAAAATAAATAAATAAAAAGGAGAAAATCGTAAAGAGATTCATTACTCCTTATACCTTGTTCCTTCATACTTATTATACTTTGTTTCATTGTCATTCTTCCCCCTCTCTCTATTCCCCTCTTTGGTCTTAACCGCCTTCACTCTTTCCTCTTATTTCTTCATTCCTTCTCCTTCTTTTTCTACTTCTTCCCCCTCCTCCTCCTCCTCCTCCTCCTCCTCCTCCTCCATTCCCTCCACCACCACCTCTTCCCCCTCCTCCTCCTCGTCTTCCTCCTCCTTTTTCTCTACTTCCTCCTCTTCTTCCACCTCCTATCACCCCCCCCACCCCCCACCATCTCCACCCATTACTCCTCCCCTTCTCGCACTATTAGCATATACATATATTAGGCAGATAATGTAATTAACAGCATTGTCAGCGTGGGCATAAAAGTAGCGTCACAAATTGAAGCACTCGGTAAAATAAGGGGACCAGGGAGGGGGGGGTAGGGGTAGGGGGTAGGGGGAGGGGAAGGGGGTTGGGGGGTTGGGGGTTGGGGTAAGGGGAAGGAGGGGAGGGGAGGGGAGGGGGGGGTGTTTGAGGACTTAGTGAAGCTGTAAAGTAAGTTTGCGGGACTGTGAAAGGGGGGGGTAAGGGGTGGGTGAGGGGGTGAGGGGAGGGGGGGGACTTGCTTGTGAGTGAAGGAATGCAGGTTAGGTTTTCAGGAGGAGGGGGTGGGGTAGGGTGGTGGGGTGTGGGGGGTGGGGGAGGAAGATAGAGGGGATAGGGTGGTCTCGGGGGTAGGGGTGGGGGTGGGATGGGGGGGGGAGAAAAGGGGGGTTTCAGCTTCTTCATTTAAGGAGGTATGAGAGAAGGAAGACGACGGGTTAATTTAGCCGTCGCTCTCTCTCTCTCTCTCTCTCTCTCTCTCTCTCTCTCTCTCTCTCTCTCTCTCTCTCTCTCTCTCTCTCTCTCTCTCTCTCTCAGAATATGTATATACATATATATATATTTTTTTTACGAATATCAGTCTTCTCTCACCTTATGGCCTTCACCTCTGTTTATTTACTACTCCGCTTCTTCTCCTCCCTCTTCTTCCTCCTCTTCTTCTCCCTCTCCTTCTCTCCCTTCTTCCTCTTCTCCTCCCTCTTCTCCTTCCCCATCCTCCTCCTCCTCATCTTCCCCTCCTTCTTCCACTTCTCCTCCCTCTTCTTCCTCTCTTCCTTCCTCTTCTTCCCCATCCTCCTCCTCCTCTTCCTCTCCTTCCCCATCATCCTCCTCCTCTCCCTCACTCTCACCGCGGAGTCCCTCGCTCCGTCGCCTGCCTTGCCACTCCGAGCTCGGTGAAGACGTCGCACGGAACTTGAAGTCGGAGGGACGCACCGCTCGGAGGGCATGGTGACAAAGGGTGACAGGGGGGGGGGGGGGGGGTGGAGGTGGAGAAGGTGGTGGAGGTGGAGGAGATGGTGGAGGAGGTGGTGAAGGGGATGGTGGAGGAGGTGGTGAAGGGGATGGTGGAGGAGGAGGATGAAGAAGAAGAAAAAAAAAGCGCATATCCTTCTTTCTCTCCTGTTGTATCATTCTCCTCCTCTTCTTCCTCCCTTCCCTCCTGTCCCTCCCTTCCCTCCTCTCCTCTCCCTCCCCTCCCTTCCCTCCTCTCCCTCTCCCTCCTCTCCCCTCCCCCGTCGCGCGTCCATCCACCTCCCTAGCCCGCTTTTGTCTGGAGGAAAACAAAAGTGGATATTTCGCCAAGCCTTGTCCCGAGCGCTCTGTTTAATGAATCCGAAAGTGTGGGAGAACAGCCGAGGCCCCCGGTTAGGACTCGGCTGCCGCTCAAAGAATTCGCCTTTCGCTTCCTCTCGCTCTCTCTCTCTCTCTCTCTCTCTCTCTCTCTCTCTCTCTCTCTCTCTCTCTCTCTCTCTCTCTCTCTCTCTCTCTCTCTCTCTCTCTCTCTCTCTGACTTCTCCTTTTCTCTCTCTTTTGCATGTGTCTCTTTCTATCTGTTGTTCATCTCTCTTTTTTTTCTTTTCTCTCTCTCTCTCTCTCTCTCTCTCTCTCTCTCTCTGACTTCTCCTTTTCTCTCTCCTCTTTCGCATGTCTGTCTCTTTCTCTCTGTTCATCTCTTTTTTTTCTTCTCTCTCTCTCTCTCTCTCTCTCTCTCTCTCTCTCTCTCTCTCTCTCTCTCTCTCTCTCTCTCTCTCTCTCTCTCTCTCTCTCTCTCTCTCTCTGTTTCTGGTTATCGCGCATTCCCTTTCTCCCTCCCCCTTCCTTTCTTGTCTATTGCTCCTTCTTATCTTCTTCCCTCCCATTTTTTTCTCATCTTGTCGTATATTTTATCTTTCTCTCTCTCTCGCTTTTTCCATCCTTTTTCTTTTTCGTGTTCTTTCTTTCTTTCTTATATCCCTCTATTTCTTTTTCGTTTCCCTTCCCTTTCTTTCTCTTCCTTTAATTTTCAGTTATTGTTATGGTTATTATTATTATTATTACTATTATTATTACTATTATTATTATTATTATTATTACTATTACTATTATTGTTACTGTTATTATTACTATTACCATTACTACCTCTATCACTGTTCCTTATAACTATTATCATTGTTATTACTATCACAGTTAATCTTGTTGTTGTGATTTTCATTATAAATTGTTATAATTGTTGGCATTGTTATCAATAGTAGTAGAGGTAGCATTATTAGTATTAGTATTACCATTTATAGTATCAGTAGCCTCCATTACTATTACTATTACTAATAGTGTTACAATCAGTATGTCATTATTAATACTTTTGGTGTTACTAATCTTATGCTGGTAATCTTAAGGTCGTATTTTTCGTTATAGTATGTATGAATTGTTACTGTTTGTTATAGAATTGCCATTATTTCAAAATGATGTATTAATTTTATAGACTGGTGTGTGTGTGTGTGGGGGAGGAGGGGGGAGTGTGTGCGTGTGCGTGTGTGGGGGGGAGGGGGGGAGTGTGTGCGTGTGTGTCTGTTTCCTGGTAAGATGAAGAGGGCAGGGAGAGGGATAACCCTGGGAAGGCTGTGAGGGGAAAAGAAG